AGTTTATTTGAGAGAGAGACAGAGAGACAGTGTGAGAGGGGGAGGGGCAGAGAGAGAGAGGGAGGCACAGAATCTGAAGCAGGCCCCAGGCTCAGAGCTGTTCGATGCAGGGCTCGAACTCCCGAGCCTAGCGGGGAGATGGTGACCTAAGGTGCAGTCGGAGACTGAACCGACTGAGCTACCCAGGTGCCTCTCTTTTCCTTGTTTTGGTTCTGTTTTTGCTTTCTTCAGGAGCAGTGTTGTGCTCACCCAGCCTGTGATTTTGTAGGCAGCAGGCAGAGCTCTGTGTTACGGGGCGGGGGGGACCTCAGTGCTCAGGCTGCAGGGCAGGGTTTCGTGCTGGGGGCTTAGGTGGGCTTGTGTGGCTCCGTCCTCACAATGTGTCATGTTTCAGGGACAGAAAGGAGAACCCGGAGACATTAAGGATGTAAGTACACATTGTCCTCACGTCGGTTGCCTCCACTGCTCCGAGGGGGTCGGCTCCTTGGGCTCCCTCTAACTTGCCATCCTCTGGGTCTCTGTCTCTCTCGCAGATTGTAGGACCCAAAGGACCTCCTGGGCCTCAGGTAAGAAAGGGAGAAATCCCTTCTCCCACCTCTTCCTCAAGTCACTGCTCTGCAGGCCCCTGGCCATGCTGTCATCTCATCATTCCCTTCACCTTCAGGGACCTGCAGGTGAACAAGGACCCAGAGGGGATCGTGGCGACAAAGGTGAAAAAGTGAGTAGAGAAAAGCTGCCCGATTCCTGTGGAATGTCCCAGATCCTCCGGGCATCCCCCCTGCCCCCTCCCATGTGCATGACCACCTCCTCGGGGGCAGCCGTGGCCAAGGGGGTTCTTGTGTAAATCCTGCTTCACACGGGTGCCCTTCTCTCTTTCTGCCAAGGGTGCCCCTGGACCGCGTGGCAGAGATGGAGAGCCTGGGACCCCTGGAAATCCCGGCCCCCCTGGTCCTCCTGGCCCCCCTGGCCCCCCTGGCCTCGGTGGAGTAAGTATCCTTATGTCCCCTTCCTTCAGCTGCCCCTCCAGAAAAATGTGGCTTCTAAATTGCTACTCCCGCTTACCTGGCTGGCTCCCAGGCCTGCCAGCAGTGTGTGCACAGCCTGCCCGTGGGCTTCTCCCCGGGCCTGTAATTTAGCGGAATCACATATTAGGCATCAGACTGTGGCGCTAAGGGATGACTTTTTTCACTCACTGGGTTTCTGCAAAGAAAGTCTTCAGTTACCTGGCTCCCAGGCGTCTGTACTGTGCGGTTGATTCTTGGGCATGGGTGTGGGGCCGGGGGAGAGGATGACTGGGCACTTGTAATTCCCTGGAAGAAGAGAGACCACTGTCCTTGGAAGACATTTAATCGTGGCCCTTGCCAAGTACATGCCAAGGGACTATTCATTCTCATGAAAGAGCCCCACTGAGCGAAGGTGTGTGGCTCCAGTCATTTTTGGAATTAAGCCAGTCAACGAATTGTGTTATTGTCCAGTTTTTGTAGGTTTGCCGTTTTGATGTTTGTTGCGTTTCAAATTCTTGAGTGGCTCGCAGATGCCTGCTACCTTCCTTGCTGAAAAATCTTAAGGTTGTGGGTTTTAGTCTTTGGCTGGACGATAAAGACCTGGAAATTTTTTCCTCTGAAACCCTGAGAAGCAATGTTTGAGTTACATTTCTCAACGTAGGTTAAACAGCCTACTTACCATTTTAGAATTTATTTTTTTTTTAACGTTTATTTATTTTTGAGACAGAGAGAGACAGAGCATGAACGGGGGAGGGTCAGAGAGAGAGGGAGACACAGAATCTGAAACAGGCTCCAGGCTCTGAGCTGTCAGCACAGAGCCCAACGTGGGGCTCGAACTCACGGACCGTGAGATTGTGACCTGAGCCAAAGTCGGCTCAACCGACTGAGCCACCCAGGCATCCCCCATTTTAGAATTTAAAGTGTAATCCTGTAAAATGAAATACAAGTCACGGATGCTTCTCCAAATAGCACTGCATCTTCCAGGGAAATGAGTGTGCCGCTGTCATCTAATAACACATTTCCACACCGGTTTTTCAGGAATCGTTGGTAATTCTATCCGATGCTAGGTTAGTTTCCAACAATTAGAGTTTATCTGAAGTTAAGGTTTGTTTTTTTTTTTTTTCGATACTGATTTACAGCGGAACTACACAGAGCCTGTCGGGCTCCTAATGTGGTTGGGTTTATTTGCAGAACTTCGCTGCCCAGATGGCCGGAGGATTTGATGAGAAGGCTGGTGGTGCCCAGATGGGAGTGATGCAAGGGCCAATGGTAAGACAAGACACCAGTTTTTTGGGTTTGGTTTTTTTGGCAGCCAAAATGGCAGGCGGTGGCCCTTAGCAGAGTCAGGGAAGCTGACAACCTCACTTTACAGATAATTGCGTAGAGCAGCTCTTCTCCACCCGTTATGTAACCTCCTATGCGGTTAGCCCAACGCATTTGGTTTTTAATGGTGACGGATGCCGGTTTCAATGATGCGCTGGAGTGACCAAGAAGAATGAGGATAGAGAGACACATATAGGCTGGTCTGTTGCAAGGCTGGTTGCTACTGCTCTTGGACTGAGAACTGAAGAACGCAGACAGCAGCCACTGTTCTCCAGCATCCACAAGGCTTCCAGCAGGAAATCTCGGCCCTGCGGCTTGGATTTGGCACATGCTAAATGAAACTCAGACTTTAGTAAACATGGCTGCGGGCCAGGAGAGAGCAAGGCCAGCTTCTCTATCCAAATGGTGCCTATAAATAAATAGATTGTTGTGTGGGGAGCGGGAAATGAGAGGGAGCAGCCACTGGATGCCCCCTCCCCATGGGGTAACTTTGTGTCCTTTGTCTGGGCCCTCGGCTGGGAGGAGGTGGCCCGCCGGAGGCCGCTGGCGAGCCAATTCCGCTGAGCTTCCTCCTTTTCTGTTCTGTTGCAGGGCCCCATGGGACCTCGAGGGCCTCCAGGCCCTGCTGGTGCTCCCGTAAGTACTGGGTCTTTCCTGGTGGTGGTGGCGGCGCGGATGCTTTCAAGCTCTTGGGTGTCAGTTTGTAGGGTTAACCTGGTGTCCTCCTGTTACTTTTTAGGGACCTCAAGGATTTCAAGGCAACCCTGGAGAACCTGGGGAACCCGGTGTCTCTGTGAGTGCCAGCGCCGGGCCCTGTCCTCCCCCTGGGGAGCCTCCAGTGATGGACCACCCAGCTCCTGGCACTGTCACCTCCCTGGCTCTGCCCAGAGCCTTCCCAGGGGAGGGCCCCGAGGAAATCTAGATGCCACTTCTTAGCTCTGTGGGATCTCTGACAGAGAGCCACGGCAGGCGAGGACCACCAGGAGCTCTGTCACAACAGTCCCCTTTCTGGGCCGCCCCTGGCCTGTGCCGCCTGCTGCCTTCCAGTACAGTCGGCCCTGCACGCTCACTCTCTCTCAGCACAGAGTGGGAAGACCCCTGCACCCCATCTTTCTTCCTTATGGGGGGAACTAGATTCCAGAGGCTACAGTCCCAAAGTTTTGTCTACCGATCAGGTATCGTCCCGCTCCGGCCATCTCTTAGACTCCCTCACTTTGTTTGTAGGGTCCCATGGGTCCCCGCGGTCCTCCTGGCCCCCCTGGAAAGCCTGGCGATGATGTGAGTATACCTGAATAGTCAAACGAGTGGATGCCTCCTTTGAGAGGGTCTGGAGGGGGTGTATGTGCTGGGGCAGAAGCGCCCTTGGCTTGGTCCGGGGGAAAGTGTCCTTAGGGGCAGAACTGGTCAGTCGGAGTCTCAGACCCTGTCTACTGTCTACGTTCCCACTTGCGAGTGCCCGGGGACTGCTTGGGACCCACTGGGGAGGGAAATAATTAAAACATCATTAGCTCCACGAAGGGAAATTGAGAAACAAGAGAAGGGAAAGGGAAAACACAGAGGGATAGATGTAGAGAAGGAAAAACAAAGGAAGACACTCAACAGCCCAGCATTATCTTACTTGTAAATGAGTTAGGAAAAGCGCAGCCTGGGTCAGGATGTCTGCAAAGGATGCAAACGAAGTGAAGGGAGTTGGCTTTCGAACTATTCTTATGAATCGCATTAGACAGTAAAAAGTCTCTCAGGGTAAGGCAACGCTGGCCCTATCAGCAGAGCCTAGGAGGGGAGAGAGAAAAGCCCCTGGGGGCAGCTGGGGGCTAGTGGGGACAGAGAAGCTTGCCCAGCTGTCTGAAAGAATGCATGGTGACCCAGGAAAGGCATTCAAAGTGTGGAATCTGAAGGAGGTGGCGG